CCTGCTGACGTGGCAATGCTGACGTGTCCTGCTGACGTGTCCTGCTGACGTAGCCTGCTGACGTGGTCTGCTGACGTGGCCTGCTGACGTGGCAACTTACCAATGCCGTCACAAGCGGTACCCGGAGACAACCAGAAACGGCAAGGCGAGAGATGGCAACAACATAGGTGGGGAGGGGTGGGTGGGATAATCGCCCAACTCACACTTAGATAAGGAGCCACTAATCAAACCAGAAAAGTTTGAACTTTGCAAAAATTTTCGAGAAAACTAAAAAAATAAAAAAATCCCGGTCTTTGCAAGTTCGGTAAGTCTCCCAATCTCCCTTGAAGTACGAAATGATCTCTGAAAGCAAAAAAAAAATTCGACTTTAGGCTGCAACCGATTTATAGAACCAACTGACAGAATCCAGGAAATGCGAAAAAAAAAGGTCCGAACAGAAATGACCAATATTCGGATTTATTCCGATGGGAATATTCGCAGTTTGAAAATAAAATAATACATGCAGGAGGTATTTCCCGTACCGTTTTCAGAAAAACGAATTTCAGAAAAGAAGATATTCCGAAGTTCTAAGTACGGGAAATGCAACAGAAAATCGAAATTTTCAAAAAAAAGAAATATATCCCGGATTTTTAACAACGAAATTTCAAATTTTCAGAAAGAAAAACGAAAATAGGAAATCAGATGTTGCGATATAGCGATTTTCCACAGCAGAATAGCGAGAAAATAAAATCCGAGAAAAGAAAAAAATTTCCATTTTTTTTTTTTTTTGTAGTAAGGTCAAGATCGTGATTTTGGGGTCTAACTAGTATGTCCTAATCAACAGAAAAGACTAACTAGCTTTTTGATCCCCACACACGTGTCAGATCAGATAGTCCTGATTCACGTGCAAAAGCTCCGATACCAACTGTTACATGCACAGATATGCAATGTACGTAATAAACCGAGAATCTGCAATGTGATGAAAAGGACTGAATAGACAATGCAGTACGAGTAGAATCTCGACAAGCAATGTACATTCTCATTCATACATAAAGATGCTGAAGAGCGCAAGGAAGACTTTGATACAAAGACTGACCTAACAGGACTGACCTCATTCACGTAGTTCAGAGTAACGAAGCAGAATGCTAGACTACCTCTAACTAGCCCAATCAATGTTTGAACTCAGACTAAACATGCATTGTATCCATCACGAAGTGTGAAGGAGCCTGGCGCTACACACAGGAAGAAAGCGCCAGGTCCAGACATACACAGACGAATAGATAAGGAACAAACGAAAGGAGGGAAGAAGATGGGAATGTCGTTAACACCAAGTCTTGGTCACCAATCCCAAATAGTCCCTYGTTGCCATGTCTGAACCCCCAAAAAGTCGAGTCTGGATCATATGTCACCAAACCCGGTATCTCTTCTCTCGTAGTCTGCAACTGCAGGGAAGTCAGAAGCTGAGAGGGTAAGAAGAAGATGGTGGACTGGGAAGAGGAAGAAGAGAACTCTCTCTCTCTCTCACTGTTACGAACCAGGTACTAACCTGTGATGTTGGCGCTGTGTTGCAGGTACCTCGAAGACGAAGCTGGAGCAACGGCGCTGCAGGTAAGTGATCCCTGGCCTCCGCCCATCATCTCTACCACTACCTAGCTATGGCGCCCAGCGCCGAAGACTACAGCTACCTACTGCGCCCAGCGCTGAAGACTACTAGCTAACGCTACTCTACTACAACGCAGCGCTCCCTCCAGAGTGCTGCTCCCGAATCCTGAAGACTACAACTGCCGAACTGCCTACCTCGGAAGTGCCTGGGAAGTCCTATGTACTTCCTCGGCCTGCCTCCCGACTGCAGGAGGGCGAGCAGGCYGAGGAGGCAGCTCTTGCCAATGCCGAARTGTGCCAGGGGCTGGCGTGCAGCAGCCTGCTTGAGGCAGGCGTGGRAACARTCTAAATATAGGCTGTTCCCAGAACCCTGGTTCGGTGCCTGAGTTTCAGGACCGGTCGTTCTGATGAACGACCGAAAATGGCCCTTGGGTTCAGGCTAAAAATGCTATTACCATTTTTAGTTTGAACCATCGCAGGGGCTGTAGGCCCTGAAAGTCAGGCTTTCGGCCTGAACCGAAATGGGGCCTGTAAGCCCTGAATTTCAGGCTTTCGGCCTGAAATCCAAGGTTTTGGCCTGAATCCAG